TCTCTTTCTCTTTCTCTTTCTCTTTCTCTTTCTCCATTAGAAATCGAGAGCAACAAGTCGCGATGCAAATGCGCGTTATCGCTGGAAAGTAAAGTGAAACACCACGTTCAACCCTCGATCCTTATAACACACGACCGATTTTCATGCGAAATCTTGTGCGACGAACCGGTTCTCTCTATACATTGTGCCTTTTTTTCCTCCCCTTCCCTCCTTACGCAGGTATCGAGCGGAGTGTTATCCGGGATACTTAATATATCGCCGGAGAAAATACAAGCCGTTGATATGGACAGCATAAACGCACCCATCCATTACTCGTTCCTCAGTGGCAATCCACCGAATTATCGGGAATTTTTCGAAATAAACCCGAACACAGGCGCCGTGAAGCAAATCAAGGCGGTCGATACCACGGTTACCAAGAGGTTCGATATTATCATCAAGGTAAGCGGATCGTCTTTATTTTATTTATTTATTTATTTATTTATTTATTTTTTCCTGTCTTTCATCGCAACTTTTTCAAAGAAGCTTGGCAATTTTCTCGAGTTATTATATCTATTATCTACAATGTTCCATGCTATGTAAAATTATGAAAATTTCTCCGCGCTGGAAAACGATTAATCCAATTTTCTTTTGTAAAGAAAAAACCTGCGACGTCGATCAAAAGTCAACACGTGTTTGTAAACACGTGCGAGAATCGAAAAGAACGACGGGAAGAGAAATGGTGTTCTTTTTTTTTTTTTTTTTTTTGTAAATGAAGAAATTAATTCATTCCTTTATTTGGTGGAAAAAAAAAAGGCTGTCGAAGTGTCAGAAGCGAAACGATCGGCCACAGCGAAATTGACGATTACAGTGAAGCCCGTGGACAGCAACCCTCCTATTATAACGGCTTCGAGCATAGAGGGGTTCGTGGACGAGAATGCTCCGATTGGGACGAAGGTTATCGACAAGAATGGCGATCCTATAGTGCTCACCGTTTCGGACGCCGATCTGGTAAGCTCGATCTCGTTCCATTTTAATGTATTCGTTTTTTGGAATCCGTTTGTTCGTTCGAAAACAAAACGCGTGTAATTTTTTTTTTTTTCTCGAAACGAATCAAGTTGTATAAATATATTGTGTTTGTATATGGATTTTTCGTAATTTCTCGAACGATGAAAAACGATCGTTCAAGGATATTATCGATCGATTGATTGTTTGGCAAATAAAAGATGAGATGATTGGATAATGAAAATAGCAAATTGTGAGAATATATATAGCGTGTCAATTTATTAAAGAAAGAGAGAATTTCAAAAGTAAATTTATCTTTGATGGAACGTCTCGCGCGAATGTTTTTGGAGCAATTAAACGAGCATGGAATCGAGGATGGAGACGGAACTGTCCAATCTTGAATTGAAACGTGTTTCGCGTCACTCTCTATTTACGCCTCATTGGACATCTGTCTCTACGAAGTATCTTACTTCGACATCCATTCGTGTTGATAATTAGAGTTCATTACTATCCTAATGTACATCCTAGTTCGACTTGATACGATTTAATACAAGATAAAGAAAAATCTTATTCGTTCATTGCTTACGTAAATTTTATACGATTTAACGTCATCTCGATTCGTAAACACGAGAAAAAAATTTCTCTTTTCTTCGAAACGTATATACAGGGTGTTCATAAAAATGTGAGACACTTTTATAGGAGAGGATTGATTTTTTGATTCTCTTTCACATCGAAACGATGAAATAAAAATTTTTATGTCCGATAAGGCTTAATTAACGAGTAACAAAAAATTAAATTGCAATAATTAAAATTTTTGTTTCTCTTAAAGATATAAAAAAATGTTGCATAGTTACATTACCATTGAAATTATTTATAAATTTATTTCAAGTAATCAATTGTACGTAAAGAAATATATCGGTGTATTCTTAATTTCTCTTTTCTTCGCGTCGAAACATATATACAGGGTGTTCATAAAAATGTGAGACACTTTTATAGGAGAGGATTGATTTTTTGATTCTCTTTCACATCGAAACGATGAAATAAAGATTCTTATGTCCGATAAAGCTTAATTAACGAGTAACAAAAAATTAAATTGCAATAATTAAAATTTTTGTTTCTTTTAAAGATATAAAAAAATGTTGCATAGTTACATTACCATTGAAATTATTTATAAATTTATTTCAAGTAATCAATTGTACGTGAAGAAATATATCGGTATATTCTTAATTTCTCTTTTCCTCGCGTCGAAACATATATACAGGGTGTTCATAAAAATGTGAGACACTTTTATAGGAGAGGATTGATTTTTTGATTCTCTTTCACATCGAAACGATGAAATAAAAATTTTTATGTCCGATAAGGCTTAATTAACGAGTAACAAAAAATTAAATTGCAATAATTAAAATTTTTGTTTCTCTTAAAGATATAAAAAAATATTGTATAAATAGTTACGTTACCACTGAAAATTCATTTCAAGTAATCAATTATACGTAAAGAAATATATCGGTGTATATTCTTAATTTCTCTTTTCTTCGCGTCGAAACGTATATACAGGGTGTTCATAAAAATGTGGGACACTTTTATAAAAGAGGATTGATTTTTTGACTTTTTTTCACATGGAAAACAAAAAATTAAATTGCATAATTAAAATTTTTGTTTCTCTTAAAGATATAAAAAAATGTTGCATAGTTACATTACCACTACAAAATACATTTCAAGTAATCAATTGTATATAAAAAAATATATATATTTTATATGATACCTGCCAGCAGGAGGGGGATTCTCGCTTACAACTCGTTAATTAAAAAATCTTTATCGGATCTTACGTTTTGTTGCCTGGAATCACATTTTTATGAACACCCTGTATACGAAGAAAAAAACAAAAAAACAAGGAAAACTCGGTGAAAGGGAGGAGAATAAAAATGAATATTTACAACGTCCCTTTCGAAATCGCTCGCCAATCACTCCGCCAATCGATTCAATAACATTGATTGCGCAATACAATTCGAGCCTCTCCCAATTATCACATATCATTGAGAATAATTGGCCGGTAGAGACGAAGATTCATCGAGAATTCGAGAAATAAACCGAAATAAGATTTCCAAATTGTGTTATAGGCGGTGAGAATTTCGAAATATTCGTGGATTAATTTCGACCCAAAATCCGTCCACTTCATTGTCGTGAAAATTCTCTCTCTCTCTCTCTCTCTCAGTGCATTCCACTCGCGGTCGAAGGTTGGAGCCTTTGGTGAAGTTGTTACAACTTCGTCGCGCCACTTGATTATTCGAGATAAAGGCGAATAAGTGATTAAATTCCTTAAACATTCCACATTTGAATACTTCGAATATTTCGTATTAAATGATGATCCTTTTTGTAAAAATATGAGCGGGTTTATTCGATTTATTCAATTTATCATGCGATAAGAAAAGATATATATATACGTATTTTATTATTGGTTAATGCAAAATATACCTTTTTATTAGGGGCCCGACGATCCGAAGCCAGCTTACTCCTTCGAGTTGACCACGAATTTTTTCGCGATCGATCCATCGGGGATGCTGGTCGTGAACGAGGAGAATTTGGACCGCGATCCTCCGAGCCCCGGCCGCTTCCGGTTTCAAGTGGTCGCCAGAGAAAAAACGGGTGTCGCCGCTTCTGCGCCATTGTCCTTCGTTGTGATATTGAACGACGTTAACGACAATGCACCCATGCTACCCATGATACCACCTATCACCGTCCAAGCTGGGGAAACGAAGAAAGTCGTGACGAAGGTATCGTTTCACGAATCTTTTATTTTTGATTAATCTCCTCTCTCTATCATACTTTGTTCCTCTAAAAAAAAGAAAAAAATGAAAGAAATTCGAAAAGAAAGAGGAATCGAGGAAGGGGAAACGGAATAAGTTTTGGTTTCGAAAACGAATGAAATGGAAATTTGGTTATTGACGCGATTCAGGTCGAGAATTAATCTCTTCTTTCTATTATATTTTGTTCCTCTAAAAAAAAAAAAAAAAAAAATTCGAAATAAAAATCGCGAATAAATTTTCGAAAGGAGAATCGAGAAAAGGAATAAGTTTTGGTTTCGAAAACGAATGAAATGGAAATTTGGTTATTGACGCGATTCAGGTCGAGAATTAATCTCTTCTCTCTATTATATTTTGTTCCTCTAAAAAAAAAAAAAATGAAAGAAATTCGAAAAGAAAGAGCAATCGAGGAAGGAGAAATAGTTTTGGAATAAGTTTTGGTTTCGAAAATGAATGAAATGGAAATTTGACGCGAGTGTATCGATTCAGGTCGAGAATTAATCTCTTCTCTCCATTATACTTTGTTCCTCTAAAAAAAAAAAATGAAAGAAATTCGAAAAGAAAGAGGAATCGAGGAAGGGGAAACTGAGTAAGTTTTGGTTTCGAAAACGAATGAAATGGAAATTTGGTTATTGACGCGATTCAGGTCGAGAATTAATCTCTTCTCTCTATTATATTTTGTTCTAAAAAAAAAAAAAAAAAAATTCGAAATAAAAGTCGCGAATAAATTTTCGAAAGGAGAATCGAGAAAGGGAATAAGTTTTGGTTTCGAAAACGAATGAAATGGAAATTTGGTTATTGACGCGAGTGTATCGATTCAGGTCGAGGCTACGGACAACGACGAGGGGGAGAACGCGGAGATAACGTACAGCATTTACCACGTGTCGAACAACGGGCTGCATAAATTCAAAATCGAGCCGAGGACGGGCGTGATAGAATCCGTGAGGAAGCTGAACGCCGGCGAGCAGTTCAGCATCACGGTCCAGGCGACCGACAAGGGTGGAAAATATTCGCAGACGATCGTCGAGGTGAACGTGATCCCCGGGCCCAACACGAGGAGCCCCGTTTTCCAGCAATCGGTGTACGAGGTGCAAGTGAGCGAGGGAGCCTCGATCAATTCCACGGTCGCGACCATCACTGTAAGTGCAATTCCGAGCACTTTTATTTATCGCCTTCGTTGCAACATAAAATAATAAGATAATTTTCCTATTGAAAATGATAATCTTTGAATATGATTTAATTTTAAAAAATCGTGAAATTTTTACAAGGCATGTATATAAAAAAAAAAAGGTAATTAAATATTTTGCTCGAAAAGAGATCTGTCCTTCTTGCAACGGTTGCAATTAGAAACGATTAAATTGATTAATAATTGATGCTTTTAGTCTTCGTTGCCTCTGTACAAACTTTGTCAAACCAAAGAGATAATTTTCCTATTGAAAATGATAATTTAATTCAATTGTAATCATCAATTGTAAGAAGAGTCTCTCAATTTTTGTATTTTTATAAAATCATGAAATATTTAGGTTTATGAAGATATGTATATAAAAAAAAATGTAATTAAATATTTTGCTCGAAAAGAGATCTGTCCTTCTTGCAACGGTTGCAATTAGAAACAGGAAAAAAGAAAAAATATAGTATTATTTCTAATAAGTGATTCGATGCTTTTAAAATAAGAGCCATCTTCGTTGCCTCTGTGCAAACTTTGTCAAACCAAGAATTTTCCTATTGAAAATGATAATCTTTATATATGGCTTGCGGCAAATTTTAATTTTTCTATCTTTTTTGCATGCAACGATTAAATTGATTAATAATTGATGCTTTTAGTCTTCGTTGCCTCTGTACAAACTTTGTCAAACCAAAGAGATAATTTTCCTATTGAAAGTGATAATTTAATTCAATTGTAATCATTGTAAGAAGAGTCTCTCAATTTTTGTATCTTTATAAAATCATGAAATGTTTAGATTTATGAAGGCATGTATATAAAAAAAAGTGTAATTAAATATTTTGCTCGAAAAGAGATCTATCTATCTACGCAATGGTTAGAATTAGAAACAGGAAAAAAGAAAAGGATTTTATTTCTAGGTTTCATTGATTAATAAAGTGATGCTTTTAGTCTTCGTTGCCTTTATTATTGCAAACTTTATTAAATCAAAGAGAATAATTTTCCTATTGAAAATGATAATCTTTAAATATGACTTGCGCCAATTAATTTTAAAAAATCATGAAATGTTTACAAAGCATATATAAAAAAAAAAAGGTAATTAAATATTTTGCTTGAAAAGAGATCTATCCTTTTTGCAAGTTGGTTGGAATTAGAAACAGGAAAAAGTAAAAGAATATTTCTACGTTTCATTGATTAATAAGTGATGCTTTTAATCTTCGTTGCCTCTCTGCAAACTTTGTCAAACCAAAGAGACAAATTTCCTACTAAAAATGATAATTTAATTCATTGCATTCTCTCAATTTTTGTATCTTCAGAAAATCATCGAAATTCTTCCAAGGCATGTATATAAAAAAAAAAAAAATCTAAATATTTTGCTCGAAAAGAGATCTGTCCCTGTTGCAACACATTTGTTAGAATTAGAAAAAAAAGGGAAAAAAGGATTTCATTTCTAACTTCATTTCATTAACAGGCAGTCGATCCAGAAAACGATCCAGTTTCGTACTCGATCGTCTCGGGCAACGACCTGCGCCAATTTGCAATCGGCGACAAATCGGGCGTGATCACCGTCATAAGGAAGTTGGACAGGGAGGACCTGACCCGTTATCAACTGGTGAGTTTACCGATGCAACTGCTATTCCTTGATCGATCAAGAGTTGAACCTCGATTGAAAACCCCCCTCTCCCCCTCCGCTGTAGCTGATAAAAGCGGAGGACTCGGGTGGCCTGTTCAGCACGGCGACGGTGAACATCAAAGTGACGGACATCAACGACAAGAATCCGGAATTCGTCGGCCTCCCCTACGAATTCTCGGTGAAGGAGGGCGAGGCCAGGAAATTGATCGGCCGCGTGCACGCGGAGGACGCGGACGAAGGGATAAACGCGGAAATAACGTATTTCGCCCCCGACGACATCCCATTCACGGTCGATCCCGAAACCGGGGACGTGCTGACGAAGATCGTCCTCGATTACGAGCAGAATGACGTAAGGAATCGAATCGCGAGGATTTAGGGATTTTACAAATTTCAAATTTTCCACGTTTTGTAATTGATAAATTTTAATTTCAACGATAAGCTCGAAAACGTACCTTCGAGTCGATTTTGAGATTAACGAGGTTTCGCGAGGCGAAGGGAATATTTTAAGTCGGAGATTGCAAGGAGAGATTACGTTCCTCAGGAATACAAATTTGTGGTGACCGCGAGGGACGGTGCTCCTGATTATCGTTTAGCAACCGCAACAGTGACGGTGAAAGTTATAGACGTGGAGGACGAGGTTCCCGTTTTCCATCAGAGCAGCTACGAGGCACGAGTCAAGGAGAATATACCGGATTACACGGTGCTTCAAGTAACGGTGGGTACTTCCAGTCATTTCCCGCTTAATAACAAGAAAAAAACTTGACTTGACCGAAGCGAAAACTAACGGTTGTTCGTAAATTCATCATTGCCTCGTTTCCATTATGATATATTCCCAATAATCTGATAAAGAAAAAAAAAAATAAATAAATAATAACAGTAGAGGGGGAAAAAAGCTACCATCAAAAATGCACACGTTATAAAATTTTCATTTTCGGGAGGAAAATCGAATTTTCCATATTTAAATTGATAAAACTTGGTATTTAATTTTTATTCGCTTTTTGTATCGAGTGTTTTTTTTTTCACCCTCTTTCCAACACAACTCGAGCACAATTACATAGTAATATTCAACAGACGTCGATGAAACGGCGCGCGAAATAATTTATTTATATATTCTCGCCATCGTGGCGGAAGGGAGCGTAAATTCTGGTCGAACGGACGGTCCTCCTCCTTGTCTAAAAGCAAACGAGATGATCCGCTTCCAGGCCGATGATCCGGACACAAAGAAGCAGATCACGTACATGATCAAGCAAGGGGATACCGAACTGTTCGCCATAGACCAGAGGACAGGAGTGATAAAAACGATCCGTGGTTTGGACTACGAGAGAGAGAGCCAACACATCCTTATAATCGGCACCGTGGAGAACACGAGCGATTTGCCTGGCTCCACCACGAGAGTCGTGGTCAACGTCCAGGTATCGATCCTCAATCGAATCTCTTTGTTCCCTTGCTCTTTTTTCTGTTTACGTCGAACTGAATCGTTCAAATTTATCGTATTGTGTATATAATATGTGTATATAATATATATATATATATATATATATGTATGTATGTATGTATGTATCTTTGGTTGCTTTCGCGTGTTCGTTTCTACTTTGATCGATCGTTGGTCATCGATCGTGTAGTTAATTAATTCAGGAATAGCAAGTGTTTATTGTGATCGAGAACGGCGTTGTTATTCCTTATCCAGGATGTTAACGACATCCCGCCAGTGTTCACATCAGTTCCTCGCCCGATTACACTAGACGACGACATTCCCATTGGCACAACGGTCATTAATCTTATAGCGACGGATTCGGATGGTACTGCACCCGGAAATCAGGTACGATCGATTAATTCCCGAATGACGGATCTTGGCCACGATTAGATCGATTTATGCTATTAACTCGTGACCATTCTATCTATCCTATTTTTTATCTTCGATTCAAATCGATCTTGGGTAACAGAAACGCGATGCTCGATCGATCATTGACTAATTCTAAGGTTATTCGGAGAGTAATTTCGTTTTCTCACACGAGTGTCGCTAGTCGAACGTTTTTATCCAGCCAACTTCATTCTAAACCGCGTAGTTATTATATATTTTCAGAGTTGGCATTTCATGCTTTAGTTGTATAAAAAAAATTCGTTCGAGTCTGGCGGTTACGTTTCTCGTGCGTGATAGCAAAGATGCGAGATCGAAAGAAACATTTTCGGCATATTTTACTTTTTTTATTACCGAAAAGATAAAGAATACTGTTCAGGCAAGAAAAAAGTTACGCGAAGTTTATGGAAAAAGTGTATTAACGGTAGCCAGTGAAATTGGTTTTCAAAATTTCGACAATTTCGTTCGACGTTAAAATACGCCACGTTTCTGGAAGACCAATTGAAATTCAAGAAGATAAAATAAAGATGCACCGATCGAAGCAAATCGACAAACAACGACTCGAGAAATTGTTACGAAATCGAATACGTCGAATTCCACGATCGCGTGAAACGACTTGACGTTTCATCGTCGTGAAATAAAACGAAATTACTTTTCGAACAACTCAATACATCTTTCTAGAAATTTTTAACGATTCTACTTGTTAATTTTCTCCATTGCCCTATTATTTCTTCGTCGCGTACAGGTAAGATACGAAATCGTGGGACGTGGAATAGCCAACAAATATTTTATGATCGATCCGGACACCGGTGTGCTGAGAGTGAGGGACGATTTGCGGAAAGAAACGGATACCGAGTATCAGGTACGATAATTTTAATATCATTCGTAAAAGAATCTCCTTCCTTCTTGTTAGTTTTGTCTCATCCCAATATCATTTCAATATCCATTTTACACGACGCATGATTGATGGATATGGAAACGATCATCCATCTCGATCATCATTGTAGGTCGACGTGCGGGCGTACGATATGGGTGAGCCTCAATTATCCTCGGTGACTACGGTGCCCGTTTACGTTCGCCATGTTGCCACCGTGCCTCCGGAAATCGGTTTAGGATTCGCGGAAAATTCGTACAACGTGGAGGTGCCGGAGGACGCGGGCGACAATACTCTTATCAAGATAATCACCATCATAAACAGCCACGCTCACGACACGACCCCGTTGAAATGCGAGATTTACAGCGGGAACGTGGACGATTTGTTCGAGGCTGGCGTCACGGAGGAGAGGAATTGCGCCCTAAAATTGAAGAAAGGCGCTTTGGATTACGAAACGACGGAATCTTATCAAGTGAAGATTAAGCTCGAATCTCTGTCGGGCCTGTTGAATTCCGGCAGGAATACGACCATGGTGAGAAATTTTCTCTAAATCGACTCGTATCGTTTTTACAACACGATCGTATATACGCATTAATCCACGCATCAATCGGTCTTTTCATTAATTTTTAAGGAAAGAGAAATATAATTCGCCATTTTTATCAAAAGCAGAAATTCCATCAATCTGCCGTGTACGTTAGCAGTCGCCAAAATCGTATATCTCTTTATTGATTTAGCCACCTAAATTAACAAAAATCGTATCGAACAGATCAATAATGATCAATGATAGAAAGGATCTAAGGGAAAAGGAATAATATAAAAAAATTTCCAATATCTCAAATTTCTCACCTCTGAATCCCTAGGTGAAGATTCAAGTGCTGGACGTGAACGACAACAAGCCAGAATTCGTCTTCCCCGAAAACGATCCAAAATTGTCGAGGGGGCGTTACTTCGCCGCGATTCCGCGGTCGGCGCAGTTCGGTTCAACGGTGATCCAGGTGAAAGCCCACGACAAGGACAACGGAAAGTACGGGAAGCTCGAGTACAGGATACTGGGCGGGCGAGGATCGGATTACTTCGCGATGGACACGTCTTCCGGTATAATCAGAACGACCGCGACCTTCGACAACGTCGACCCGGCCGAGCTTCCCTTCAAATTCGACGTTCGAGTTCGGGATAATCCCAACTCGACCGACAACTTCAACTCCATCGTCGCCCCTGTGATAGTGAATCTTATAGGCGAGGAGAATCTGATGATACTCGTCGTCCAGGACGCGTCGCCCGACTCGTTGCAGAAGGAGGCGTCCAAGATTGCCGGCATCATCGAGGAGAAGAGCGAGCTTCTCGTCGGGATAGACAGGATAGCAGTGAGGAAGAATTTGACGAAGAATGGAACTATCGAGATGTATCCTCAGGATTCAGACGTGTGGTTTTACGCCATCGATCCGGACACCGAGGCTATTTTGGACAGGAACAGCTCGAGGATACAAAGGTGAGACGTTTTTCCATCGTGTGCAAATGTAAGTTAGTTAAAATATATTTTTTATTTTTATTTTTTTTTTTTTTTTTTTATTTTTACGAAAGATCGAATGTCGTATAACGCGTACAGAAAAAAGTGCACGAGCTTTAATATAGTTGAAAAGAGGTTTGTCGATTTTATTTTTTAGCGATAACCGCGTAAACCGCGCAAAGCGCTTCACGAATCGATATAGGCCGCGAAAAAATTGTGTCAAAGATATCGAAGCTTTGCGTCGCGAAATTGACACAAGCGATTTGACTTGTCTCGAATTTTCAAAAATATACGCTTTAAAATTGCCTCCACTTTTGTCTCGTTTGCCAAACCGAACATTGCCACGAAACAATTACGAGTCAACGTAACGATTTAATATTGGCACGTATTCGCAACTTGGACTTTGTACTTAACAAAGCGGTCGTAGTAACGAAATCAATGGTTGCGGGTTGCAGATCGATATTCGAGAAGACGGCCATGTCGAACATCACTTTCGACGTGTCCACGTTGGTCCGAGCCAACGCGATAGACATTCACGCGCCAGTGATGCCACCGGAGCCAATACGCACTCAGACCGCCATTGCTTTCAGCGGCGAGGTGTTCCCATACGCGCTGATCATCATCGCTTGCGTCATACTGATTCTAGGAATTGCTGGTATAATCTACATTTGCGTATCCTGGTCCAGGTGAGTAGTGAGCTTAACTCTCTCCGCTTTCGAAGAAGCCGTTTAGCTTTTTAATTTAAAGATGTAAAACACGTGAAAGAATTTCGATTATTTTCGAACAATTTTTATAATGTGTAATATTAAGTGGAAATTTATATAAAGCGGTAATATTACCGTTGGATTCGATCTCCAATAATTGTGAGAAGAAGTGGAAGAATTTAGCGCCAATAATGTATAACGGGACAGAAATATTGTACGAACGTGTACGATAGCTCACGATTCGATTTGGAGAATTTCATCGAGAATTGTTCTCTTGTTATCGCGTGAAAGAAAAAGAAAGAAAAAAGGTTTTCAAGCGTCGAAATGAATATTCATCATTCGGTTAACGAGTATCAACCGTGCAAATTCATCGTTCCCTTTATTACCCCCATTAGAATTAATTACGACTTTCCGGCTTGGCCGCCTCTCTTAAAATGTTTAGTACCGCCGTTAAGATACGTCGGCCGTTCTTCGTATCGTTCTCTCTCGCTCGCTATAACTCGAACACGACTCGAGCTTCTATATAGCCGAATTTTCCTCACTCTCTCGTTTCGATACACAGATACAAGGCGTACAAGGAACGGATGCAGCGAATGTACGTGGTACCCCGTTACGATCCCGTGTATGTGGAGCCGAATTTGAAGGAATACGAGACGCAGGTGCTTCAAATGAGCGTGCCCGTTGACGACAACGACAGTTACAACGACCTTCAGCTCGATTTCAGCAATAAGAATCACGCGTTCAGCCTGGACAACGTTAGCTACATTACCAAAGATCACGGAGAGAGTACCGGTAAAACATTTTTCGAAAACATTTTTATAAATATGATTTCGTTTAGCAATTATAATTATTCGTAATTATTATTATTACGTTTTGAAGATATATATAACGAGTTAAGGAAAGGATTTGGATCGATCGAATTTGTCAAAGATTTTTTTTTTTTTTCAACGCGAAACGATGATAAATTAAAGATAAAGAACGAGACTATTTTTTCTTTTTTTTTTTTTACCTTCGATAAAAATATTTTACAAGGATATGTATATAGTATGTATGTTTATAGTATCACGCGATTGAAAGGGAACGAGGTTAAAGATAAGAGCGCAAAAAAAGAGAAGAGAATGCAAACTAATTACGCGTTAAACTTCCAACATATCCCCCCTCCCTCCCCAATAAATTCCCTATATCGCTTCGTACACACACTTTTCATCCTTCCCCTAAACTCCGAAACTCTTATAAATATACATCCATCTCCAATATATATCGACTTTTTTCCTCCCCCTCCCCTCTACCCACCCACCAGAAGACTCGATTCTCCTCGACTCTCCGGCATCGATCCCAGCATCGATTTACGGAGAGCAGAAAAGTTTCTCGTTTGAAATTTTGTCCCGTTTTCCCGACACATAAAAATATAATATATAACCATCCCCGTCCTTTCCCCCGTTTTCTCGCTCGCTTGTGCACATGGAAAATAGCTGTGTCGAGCAAAATAACGAGAGAAACAACGTCGAAACAGGGTTCATCACTGTATTCACTTATGTTTCCGCCCATCCACAGGTCAACAGAGCCCTGTAAGCTCGGAGGCGGCGACAACGGCGCGCGCCTCGAGCATAGCGGGGACCCACGCGGATGCGAACATCCACTCGTTGCGGCGATCCACCCTCGGAAGAAAGAACAACGGCGGCAACGCGAACACCACGTTGAACAACCACGACGCGACGCCTGTCCTCAACCCGCTCTACAACCACGGCAACGACTCGCTGCTCAGCCCGAGCCCGTCCAACGACAACGTGACGTTCAGGGAGAAAAGGGACTATTCCCATCTGGGATTCACGTATCTGGGCGAGCAGAGCCCCGTCGAAACCACCACCGAGTTGTAAACCAGCTCGCTTATTTCCAACGCGCTATATACTTCTCTTCCCCCCTCCCCTCCCAGGTTTCGACCAGAGCGGGGCCATTCTTCCCTCGAGTATACATCTCGAGAGAGAGAGAGAGAGAGAGAGAGAGAGAGAGAGAGAGAGAGAGAGAGAGAGAGAAATTTATTCGCGAGATTTTTTTTTTTATTCGAGATTCGAACTTTCTTTCTCTGTCCGTTTGAATGAGAACACGAGGGAAGAGCGCTTTTTATCGAGATTAATTTCACGCCGGGAGTGGGAGGAAACGTGTAACGTTGGTAGGTTTTTAGACACGAAGTTTGAAAGCCGACGGATGCCAACGGTTCGTTTTCTTTCGAAGCGCGCGCGAGCATTTGTTCCGCGTGGCGAGCATTTCAATCGGCGAGCATTGTGCACGACGAACAGTGAGGCGGCGCTACTTGTACTCGAGGAAACGAGGTCGGGCGCGCGAGAGAGGAGGAGGGACGAGGGAAAGAAACGAGCGAGGCCCCCTCCCTCCTCTCTTTCTCACCGAAGGGAAAGACTTTCGACGAGAAAGCTATTTTTCAAAGTGGGCGAACAATTCCTCTTGATATTTGAGAAATATTGTTTGCTCGGACCGTTCGGGGTTCGTCACGACTGTACAACGAAATTCTGCCATCGATTCCGCGATTGAATCAATTTAATGTGATTTTTTTTCTTCGTCTCGACGCCTGGATACGGGGATATTGAAACGATTTTTTTCGTCGAGATCGAGCGTCCTCGTTTAAAAGAGAAGGGGAGTGAAAAAGAAAAAAAAAAGAGAACAATCGTTCGACTTTCGAACGAGCTTCTTCGATATACGGAAACGTTGGGCAATTTTTTCGAGGAGATCCTATTGTGCAATAGTTTCATCGTCTCGTCCCTATTGATGACGAGAAAATCGGATATTTTTTTTTTCTTTCGCGGAATTCTCGTACACTACGCGTTGATTTTTATTTGAAAAATGTGCGGATAATAAAATCATAGCGATTGCAACGTACCGTCCACGCAACGTAGTTGTTAAGTATATTAAATAACGTTAATCGATTTATAAAAAAAAAAAAAAAAAAAAAAAGATAAATGCGGTTTGAATGTGATCGTACGAATGCGTGATACTGTGAATATACGAATGATCGGCCCGTGAACTTAAATAATTGTAACGAGAGAGACCCTCCCCCCTATTGTAATATTGTATAATAAGATCTTTTTTTTTTTATTTATAATCGCGCGTTTGCTCATTTTATTATTTTATTATTTTTTTTAACGAGATTCAATCAATGGTAGGCATATCGTTGTTACGTGTATGTTGTTACAAAAAAGATAAGAAGATGTGTTCGACAATTCACGCATCCTGTGTCTCTTCGCTCTTCCGTTTTTTTTTTTCCTCGACCAAGTTTCTTTTCTTTTCTTTCGTTCGAATAATCGAGATCGTCAACTCGTCGCCGTAAGAAAATGATATATCCTCTGTGGATCAGATGTGGATCAGGATATTTTTGGCGAACGTGCCGAAGTGTTTTCAAAGCGCTAAACTTTTCGCAAGTGTTTAACAAATAGGGATAATAATTGTAGCGTGAAATGTTCTGCGGAATGCGTTTTCCAGTATTGGGATACTTGGAATCGATTCGATCGGGAAATATTGTACTTAAAACGATTATTTTAAAATTTTAACGCGAAGAACGAGGTGGAGCAAGGAATGGTTACAAATCGCGAGACTTGATCGGTTAAATCTCTAGTCGTGCGGCGAACATCCCGACTGTATCATAACGAATTTATCTTTCGATTGTTTTATTTAGGAAACGTTAAAAAAAATAAGGAAAAAAAGAACGATCCGTATCGTCAATTCGTGGACTAGAGCGTCAATCATTTACGTACATATATAATATATATATATAGTTATACACGTGTTGCGTGAAATGAACGAAATACGAATGCTGTAAAAAATTGTTAATACTTTTAATAAATCTATTATATTTACATAAATTACGAATATAATTCGTAAACGAAGTCATCCCCCCTCTGCCATATTGTTATATCATACACCATATACCGAAAATCGAGAAAATCGTCCGTTTTCAATCCCCTTTACGAAATTCTATTATGCAAAAAAAAAAAAAAAAAAAAAANAAAAAAAAAAAAAAAAAAAAAAACGAGCTAACTAAAGAAGAAAAGATATTCGAGTTACGCCAACCGCGTAACTTTTGTCCCACTCCCGAGAGAACGAAAAGGATATATCGTTATCGCAACATCGCGCAAGCGAAAAAAACTTGAAATAGCGAAAACTCACTCGTCTCTCGTCCCAAAACGACGGATTCCGGATCCATCGTCCAGTTCGTCCATCTCTTTCGTTCCCCTCGTCCTCGAGATCTTTCGAACTTTGGGAAAAGGATACAAGAGATCCTATCCGTGCTGGAAACACGATCGTTGAAACACGGCATCGAACGAGGGAAGAGCGCGGCTCTCGAGCGTGTCGAAACGCGTGGATTAACGAGCGGTGATCGACTAGGGAGCAAGACGAGAGAGCGTCGGCGCCGTTCCAACGCGACGCACACGCGCCGTGGACCTATGGAGAAGGCGAGGCGGATGAAGAAAAGAGAAAGAGATATGTATATGAGCGCGCATCGAGGAGCTGGGCAAGCGAGCATCTGCCCTCGCCAGTGTCGTCTCGGTCGTACGGGATCCTCGATCGGTACAGAGAGGGACTCACTGTTGGTAGAGGGTACTCCCTTGTTGCTCACTCGAGTAGTAAGAGAAAATCCTCGCACGGGAGAGTTGGCACGTGAGATATCGCATCGTGATCGATCTCTCGTGTCTCTTGCGCGTGTTCTATTTTCTCCTGCCCACCCCTCCCCTTCCCTCGTTCCTTCCTCGTTCCTTCCTCGCCGGCCACGATCAGCCACGTCCAGGATTACGCATCGACGATCGAGCGAGGGGGATTACCGCCGTGAGATCCCCTGTTCGCGGAGGAAGGAAAGGAAGGAAAGTGGAGGAGAAGGCGAATATATTGGGAAGAGGATTTCGGTGGAGAAGTGGTGTTGTTGCTAGGTGTTGTTGACCACCTTCGGTGTGATCGTGGACCACCTGTGAATTTATATGGTGATCGATGGATGTGGGATGTAAACGTGTACGTACGTTTTACGAGTTTTTGCTTCACTGTAACCCCGCGTTTCCCGCCCTTCGTTTCTCTCTCTTTTTCTCCCCCCCCCCTCTCTCTCTTTCTCTCTCGTCGAGCGAAGCGTGAAACTGGGCGAATCAACAGGGGATCGGGACGACAGTCGAATTCGTACCTCGATGTTTGCAAGGATAATGATGACGATGATGATGATGATGATGATGGTGGTGGTGGTAGTGATTGTGATGGTAATATCCCGACCGATGGAAAGATAAATGGGAGTATTCGTGGAAAGTATTGTTCGAGAACTTTGTGCGCTCCACCGTGGTGTGTGTATCGATTAATAATAATGCGATAATAAATTAAAGGGGAAGACGAAAATCGGTCAGGATTCTCGTTAGACTTTAATCTTTCTCTCTCGTGGATTATAAGAAAAAGAAGAGAAATTATCGTGATTTTAATCGAATGTTTAGTGGTGTAATGCTTGGTCGACGGTTTGTATAACGATGTATTCGTTTCACGGTTTATTTTTCGTCCAAAATCGAGCGACGTTAATCGTTAATTAATGGAATAGGGATTAATTAATGCAAGGAAGGATCATTTAATTAATTTTCATTTTTTTTCTCGTGTTATTAATTCGTGAACTTTTCCTTATTATATTGAATTGAGTACGTGCATCGAGTAATGGATCTCACAATGGTTAATCCCGAATATGTATAATAATTAATATATTCGAGGATAAAGAAAGTAATTTTCTTTTCAAGAAAAGCGTCACGTTGTTCGAGTTGTATAATATAATCGTATCCCCAGAATTCAAAAGACCACGACGATCGTATACATAACCTATATAATCCCCTGTTCTTTGTCCCAGAGTTATAAATTTTTTATCGATCAACGTGCAAGAAATTTTCGTTGTAGCACGAAAGTAAGAACGAAAGATTCATCGATCGTACGTACGATTTAACCTTCGTTCTTTCTCTTTTCATTTTCTTTTTTTTTTTTTTTTTTTTTTTTCATTTTCGTTTTAACTTTTTAGAGATTAGCGAGAGCGTTCAATCGCTCGTGCAGATTTTTAACGAGGCATGGTAAATTTTAATCTCGCGAACGAAGAGGATACGCGTGGAGGAAACGTGAATAAACAAATTTCGATCTACGATTAATTAAACGATTTTTTTTTTTCGCTCGTGTAACAACTTTTTTGAAATTCGTGATTTTTCGACGAATGGAAGATCGTTCGATAATAATTTTATCTTTATAAATATTTGGAGAATATCTTTCGAGAAAAATTTGGGTCGCGAGAGAATTAAGAGAGTAATAGATATAAAGGGAGGTAGTGAGTCGAAAATGACACTGCAATTTTTTTTTTTTTTTTTTTTTTTTTTAAATGATTCACGTTGATAGAAATTATCCTTGCAGATCGATGGTTATTTGACGCCTTGAAAAAAACGAGATCGGCATGAAGTACTTGAAAATCGTTCTGTTCACGTTCAACTTATTGATATGGGTAAAGTATATTAAGTATATTAAAGTATATTAATTATATCATTCATTGTAGAAAAAAATCGATCTATTTCTATGTTATATATCTAAAAAAAAAAAAATGAAAATATCTTTTCACACGTAACACGTTGATATATTTTACAAAGAGCTTTGATATTTTCTGATAAAGCGTAAACAAAGATAAACGCGCGTCGTAAAGTAAGAATATATGGTTGGCATATCAGTAAAGTCAATCACCTAGAAAGTTCAATAAACAGTGAATAAACTAACTCTGCTATAGATTCTGATAAAAATTGCGATTACGAATTGCAGAAGTTGTTAATTTTGATGAAAAACGATCCGTTCGAGTAAAACAAATTTTTCGAAGGGGAAATAAGAGTGAAAAAGAATTGCATCGATTGAATAATAATAGAATTTCACGGGAAATCAGATGATCCGGAAATAGTATAACGGTAATAGATCGATTAATCGTTAAATCAGTTTGTTGAATCGCGAGTTTTCGACAAGCTAAAAGCTGATGCTGATTTGCAACAGATTCAACTTAAGATTAATCCTTGAATAACACGGCATTTGTTTTAATGGGACGGAGTTGAGCGTTGATGAAATAAAAGTATTTAAAAAAGACTTCGTTTAAAAAGCAGCGTATTATTTCGTTCGTTATTGTTAAAAGTATAAAATTTCCTTGAAATATATGATAGATAGGTTTTGTTTGCACTTGTTTTTTCGAAAATAATTGAAACGAATTGTATATTATTTTAAAACTTTATTTTAAAATAAATCGATATCGAGGTAAAATAATTTCTCGCTTATTTTTATTTCGAATGAAATATCTCCATTTGTCACATGAATATTTTTAAATTACGATCAAATATATGACGACGATAAACAATGCATGATATTTTCACTGAATAATTTTTACAAACAATGAAATAATTATTACGTGTATGCAAATGTTAAGTTTTTTTTTTTCTTTTTGTACGAAAACAATCGAGGAATTTTCCAGAGCATACGAATATTCCATCTATACCCTCTGCGAGTATATCTGGTATAATTTTGTTTTGAAATATTTCAAATTGAGATTTTTCCGTAGATATATATTTATATGAATTATATATGTGAATATCAAGTGCGGGGCAAAACAATACAGTTTAATTTCACGTAGATAAAAACTTTCTTCTCAACGACGAAAACTTCTGCAATTCTGTAGCAATTATATACCATTTAAATACGTTATCACTGAAACGTACGAGGTACCTTATGTAATTGGATCGAGATATCACTCTAAAACGATTAAAAATATAAAAGGAAAGCGAAGCGAAGAGAAATTGTCTACATCGTCTATTTTACATTAAAATTATAAAAATTTTAAACCGTTATAATTTCAAAGATAATAACTTCTAATCGATAAACGAGCGATCAATGGAAGCATGAAACCTTGCCCTTTAAAATGCCTTTTCATTCATTCCGATACGACTTCCGGTTCCCGAGATATTATCGTGTAAAGAAAAGATAATTTTTTAATCATTTACCTTTAACTCGATTAAACCCTATTAAAATTAGGAAAACTTTGAATCGCTATAACTCCAAAGATAATGACTTCTTATCGATAAATAAGGGATCGTTGGAAGCGCGAAATCTTCCCCTTTAAAACGCTTTTTTATTTATTTCGACACGACTTCCGGTTCCCGAGATATCGTCGTGTAAAGGAAAAGGAATTTTTAATCGTTTATTATCTCCGCTCTCTTACTCGGATCTTTCGTTCGCACTTCGTCTCACTGATCTATCCCAAACTGCAGACAAGAATCTTGAACACGATTCCTGGAAGAGCGTAGTACGCATTTCCAAGAAAAAAAAATAAATCGATAGGTCGCGTATCCATTCATAACTTCGACGTTATCTTAAGTACTACCAATACTTTGAGGCTTTATATCTCAAGAACCGATTGAGATATCGGGATAAAACAAAAAGCGATTTCAAGGGCATGATTTCCTCTTCCTATCTTCCGAATATATTTCTTTGATAAAAAAATTTTTAATTTCTTTCCATTTCGTTTTTACGTGAAAAATGTTGCTTGACTTGCGCGACTCTGACCCGTGATTTCAACGATTTCCATTATTGAGCGATGATTCTTAATTTTATTCCTTATCGCATTACGTAAAGTACCTTCGTATTGATAATCTCGAAAGTAAGGCGCATAAAATGAAATTACTCGATAGTTGGCCGGGTGTACGGTACTGATGATAGGAGCATGCTTGCTGCTGGAGCCAAGCAAAGGTCACCTGTTAAATCTCTTCGTGCACGACGCCACGCCGCACGATACTATTAATCTGATAGCTTACAGTTTGCTCGGCCTCGGTTTCACCGTGTTGACAGTCGGTTTCTTTGGATGTCGCGCCGCTCTCCACGGAAGCCAGTGCATACTGGCCACCGTAAGTTATCGATAGATGTAATCTCGCCATATAATAAACTCACGCTCAAGCCCCACCATTACTCACTATCCCGTCCAACTTTTTATCTGTTCAGTACATGAGCATGCTCGTGGCGCTGATCGTCACGGAGCTTGTCACCGCGGCTGCCGGCGGTATAATGACATTTCGAATACTTTCCGGATTGGAGGAGCGACTAATCAGCAAATTAGCCGTTGGCTACGGCCACGAGCCGACCAGCGACATCCCTTTCAGCCACAGTCTCGACTTCGCCCAATACAAGGTATGTATGATTGCCGTGTTTAATAATAGCCATCGATTATTTATTTTAAGAGCGTTGTCCCTACGTTGCGTTGCGTATCAACAACATCGTACGATTTTATCACGATTGTGATAAAAGGTGATTCAAAAAAATGTAAAAAAAAATACTCGATCCTCCAGAAAAAGGGGACGAATTACAGAATGTCCTCTTTGTTTTAAGCACGTCACACGTTCATTTAACGCAATTCCAGTTTTTAGGAATTCCGGAAACGTTTATTGCTGTAAAAAAAAAAAAAAAAAAAAAAAAATTTCCATCGTAATTAACAAAACGTTCTCACGCCATTAAGTTCTCTCGGTATTTCGAAATTCGCGACACCGTTTAATTGTTTAATTGTGAAAAGAAATGACGATTAACGAGCGTTTGTGTTATTTTTCGCGATTTTTGTGCTATTTTTAACGTTCGAATTGTAACGATTGAATTTCGAAACGATGATCGAACAATTTCGAAAATAATAGGATCGTATCCATGAAGAGATCAGAAAACCGCACGATGGAAATTTTATTTCGAACAATGTTTAATACGCGTGTCTTTCTTTCTTTCTTTCTTTTTTTTTTTTTTTTTCGGAAAAGTACACATCAACGATTTCATTGCAGTTTAATTGCTGCGGTATTCACGGATACGGAGATTACAATGGCACGGCATGGTGGAGGGACGCGCAAATTTCGGGGAACAGGAGGCAGGTCCCCCTCACGTGCTGCGTTTTAAAAAATACAGAGGTATGGAATTTATTGTTGTGCATGTTCGAACCGATGCAATGTACAATGTTCTAGATAAGATAATCAATAATTTTGAAACTCTTTATTTTTTTTTTTTTTTGTAATATTCGATTTCCTTAAAAAAAGTTTTAACAATTTTGAAACTCTTTATTGGGGATGAGAGACGACAGATGTGTGGAAAATTTATAGGAATATTTTCTCTTTTGCAATGTTCGGTTTCCTTAAACAAAATTTTAACAATTTTGAAACTCTTTATTGGAGATGAAACGTGTGGAAAATAATATTTTCTCTTTTGTAATGTTCGATTTCCTTAAATAAAATTTTAACAGTTTTGAAACTCTTTACTGGGATGAGAGATCACAGTGTGGAAAATTTATAGGAATATTTTCTCTTTCGTAATATTCGATTTCCTTAAAAAAAGTTTTAACAATTTTGAAACTCTTTATTGGGGATGAGAAATACACGTGGAAAATTTATAGGAATATTTTGGAAGTTTGAACCAATGAATGCAATTTTCTCTTTTGTAACGTTCGATTTTCTTAAAAGAAATTTTTAACAATTTTGAAATTTTTGTTGAAAAAAAAAAAGTTGAAAATCGTCGCGATATTTTCTTTTTCTTGGAGAGAATTTTCGTTCAACTTGAAAAATCAATCGTTCTCGAAATATATATCGTATTGTATTGGTTCGCAGGTGAAAAATACGGGAAGTCCAATGAGCGTCGTGTCGAGAGTATTCAACAAACATGTGAGTAATTCGATTTGCATTGAAATTTATTTATTCTTCCTTTCGTTAAATCTTGATTTCCCTTGAAATAAGACCGAGAAACCGTGGTTGAATCCAAAGCCAAAGGACGAACTAGCCTGTCAAATAGAGGACAAAGAAGGTCACGAAGGATATAGACATCAAGAGGTAGAAGTTTATTTCCATAACTCAATCGTTTCCATAGCTTAATTGGTAAACAATTTTAACAGCGTTATTTATTTTTTATTTATCTATTTTTTTAATCAAGTTGTACGACATACTTATGTAACAAAGGAATTCTTGAATTGGAAAACGATGTTTATCGATCTTACGGGGAGGTCGTTGACGGCCGAAGGATACTTATCTCTCTCGCGCTTTGCATATTTATGAGATTCTATGTATATATGTATAACGGGAAAGGATCAATTTATTGGATTGGTAAATGGAGGTTTGAATTGGAACGCTCCATTTGTCGAACGACTTACTTTTAATTAATTAAATTATGGAAATTACCGACAACCAGTTTTCCCTCTTTAAAATAGCTTTCAATTCAATTAGCTTCGTAAAATCTAAATGAAGAAGAAGAAGAAGAAGAAGAAAAGAAAAAAAAAAATAACAGCAATTCAATTCTCTTTTACATTTTAGAGGAAAAAAATATCGTTGAAAGATTGTGAAATTAACGTCTATCCGCTTCTTTTTTCTTTTTTTTTTTTTTTTTTTTCATTTTTCGAGCAAATTCAATAAATTGAAACATTCTTTTCGATTTTACTTGTTTATTTTAATTGATCGCGTAAACACGTTCACAGGGCTGCCTTCTCAAAGTTACAAGTTGGCTGCAATGCGAGAGCTTCACATTGGTATTCCTGGGAATGGCGATGGCTGGGATACAAGTACGTATCCCATCGAATTTATTCGAAGATTTTACCCGTCTCTGAAATCTAATCACGTCCCTCTATGTTTCAGACATTTGGTATAATAACTTCGGCTTTTCTTTGCCGAACGATAAGGGAGATGCAAGTGGATTGAAACTCTTGGGATAACAAGAGCATAAAAGAAGGGAGGGAAGCCAATTTCCAGACCTCTGTCGAGTTTTCGAGGAGATCAAACGATGCATTATTCTGATGTTTCATCCGTTCACTTTCGACGATTCTGCGGTGGAAATATTCGTTCGAGGGAACAACGATACATACGTGATAATAATAACGTGGATATTTCGAGCAGATTTCGCAAAACTGCGTTTACATTGAAACACAACACATTTCCATTCAATCGACTCTTAAAAATGAAATTTGTCACATTTTCGATCGAACGTCGATCAAGTTTGTTCGATTTCACGATCGTCACCAAAAAAAAAAATAGCCTAAATGTTATAAACATTGCTTAAGAGATTGTCGAATCTCTTTGAAACGATCCTTTTTTTTTTATTTTTTAAGAACACTCAATAATCGTGGAATTTATATCGTATAGATTGAAAGGTGTGCTTGCTCGGAACTTTCCAGCCCATTCCCGTCCCTTGTATGTGTGTTTCGTTACAAAATATCGTATCGTGACGAAACGGGAGAAAGATGTCTGCATAAATTCTGTACATAAAAATGTTATTCCACTCGTGTTCGCTCCGAATACGAAAACACGCTACGATTCTCAAACCGATCGTTTACCATACGACTCGTCATATTCGAATAATATCGAAACTGAAAGGGTTATTAATTCAAACTACTCGAGTATCCGAATGTTTATATCTGAATATCTCGTGGAACAATCGAGAACGTCGAATCTAACGCCACTCGTGCTTCGGCTATCTTCGACCAACATCGGTTAAGTAGTCGAAGATGGCCGAAACACGATCGGCTTTTATCGGGTGTCGAGTCGTCTCGATGGACGGAGCGTTGTATCGAAACGCGAGTCCATTGAAAGAAGTTTTTATTCCGAAAGTTTTGATCAATTTGAACAATTTGTTTATTCGATGAACATTCGAGTACTGGTGAATGATAGTTTGAAATAACAACGCCGATCGAAAAGTTTCGATATATTCTTGCGTTCATGAGATAAAAACGTACCAAACGTCGCAGTGAACCAAAGTTTGAATTACGGGTGGATCTGTAAATATGTATCGCGCAACAACGACGAGAAAGGTAGAGATGAAAGTTCGAATTCGATGAAACAATGAACAGTATCGACAGATCTGTCATTTTTCTTACTTTTTCTCGCGGAATGCGATATGCAATTTTTCACACGAAACTCACGTGATTTATACGATATATTGGCAAGCGCATATGTTCGAAACCATTTTGCGATTTTTTACCGAGGAATAAAAATAATATACCGTCGAAGAGTGAATGTACGCAATATCGATGTATAAATGTGTGATAGAAATTTGTGTAGTTGACAACAAACTGCTTAAGAAAAAAAGTTGACGCGCATCCAAATAAAACGAAATGAAAGAAAAAGAAAAAAAAACACATAATGTATTCTATCATAGTGTTCGCAAATGTCGAAAGAAGAAAACATTTTTACGTTGGATAATTGTTACAAAAGAGGAAAAAGAAAAGAAATATATCTGTTACAATAATTCGTGCCAAATAGATGATATACATATATATATATATCTTGCGATGAGTGAATTTAACTTTGTTACATCTTTATTTTCTAATGAAATTTGTTGGAAAGTATTTGACGCGTGCGTAAAAAAAAAAAAAAAAAAAAAAATATATATATATATATATAGTAGAAAAATAAAATAATTGCTCTCTGTAAATTGTGTTTTTTATCATTGCATGGAAAATTTCTATCGTGTCGTCGTAAGAAGTGAAAAAAAAAAAACAACACGTTCGCTTTCTGATTAATTTTTAATTAAAAAAAAAAATCACTTTACACGTATGGATTACAAGTTTAAAAAAAAAAATGTTTCGATGCAAGACGGAATCGATCACACATTTCGATTCTACATATTCACGCACGTAAAACGCGTAAAATTTAAAAGCTTACTACTTAACGAATATATATATATATATGTGCGCTATGCGTAAAAATAAACGCTACGTTCGTTCACTTGTTGAACGGGCCTACAGTTGAACAAAATGGGGCCGTCTGGTGAGCAGATTTTTCGAAATTGAGCAACCTACGATGGAATTTGGTTGTAAGGTAAACAAACAAAATATATTTATATTAATAAATTAAACGATGGAACATCGCTTCACTTGAGACGACGATATGGCAATCGGTTCAGGTTGCAATATCCACGTGACGATTTCACTGCACGGTGGTTGGGTAAAAGAGCCATTGTACGTGTAATAATCCCTTTCGAAAGTTGGAAAAATCCATAACAGTGGGAAAGGAGGAATGTGCACCTTTGTTCCAGGTTGAATAATCCGCCACAGATTTGTCACGATGTGGTCCAAGTAAGGATTGTCTGCGTTCGTAATCTATAATAATATTACAATATCGATAGTTATCGTACATTTTATGGAAATATTTTTCTTTTTCTTATTTTATTATCACATATTTTTAGATCAATGTAAGAGAGATTAAACCTGAAAGAAGAACGACACGATCAATATGCCGTCGTTTTCTTTAGCCGTGATCGCGTCCAACAACGAGTTGAAGCCACGTTTTATGTGCCACACTTGTAGCTCCATAGGAAATCGAACATAATCGAAAGTATGCTCGCTACCTTCCTCGTTCGAGTGGCCCCAGTGAAAGACCATGGAGCAGATGTCGTAAACGTTGGTCAAACATCCACCTTGGATGTACGGTCGAGTCGAGCTGTTCCACATCGTGTTCAGTACCACTGGAAATCGATATATAACGATATGCGTTATAAAAGCGTGGAATAACAGAGTTTCGAATACGTAAAAAAAAAAAAAAAAAGAAAGGAAAGAAAAATCGACACGATTGAATAATTCGCTTCGACTCGAATGGAACAAGTAATTTTGCTTATTGAACCGGTGATGGAAAATTGCACCGTTATTTTCATTATTGGTTATAGTCATCGATAATGGTCCTTTGTCATAGCCGCTCCATCGAAGAGGTTCGGACGGTTGCACCACAACGGCGAGTTGCGTTGTGACGTTGATAGGCGACTGATTGCCACCATTACTGTCAGGATACAACAGTTTCCACATGTGGGGTCCGTTGCGGTCCGCGTAACCGAACGTGTACCGTGGAAAATTGCATTCTTCCGCCCAGGGAAATAATTGGGTCCAATCTAGGACCTCGGTCAGTAGTAAAACTGTAACCAGGTATCGCGATGTTTGACGTATTTAAATTTAATTAAATTTAGATATATTCTTTACGGTTAAAGAAAATGATGATTATTAATAATCGACTTACAAATAAGGAGGACACTGCTACATAGTATCATGAATTCCGAAACTGAAATGTTTATCATTTTTATCAACAATCGTCCCCCCTTTATTATCTTCGACGCGATACACTGACGAAGGTCCGTGAAACTTGTTCGATCGCGTTGCGTCTCGATACATGGATAGACAACAGATAGTACAAGAATTTTCACTTGACAATTTTAAAAAACGTTCGACAAGATTAACATGTTGGGTTATTAATCAGGAAAAATGAACGAGCAAAATGATCGACGGATAATATCGGGCATGTATCTATATATATATGTGTGTATAACTTCACGCTTGAACACCACGCGGTTTAATTGTTCTCATCTCGATAGCTGTGGCGGTATATATGTATATCTAATAAACGTCTCTCGTTTTCATTTAGACTAGGTTGAAGTTAAAATTAAAAAAGTTCAAATGCGCGTTGAAAATGTCCACCACGCTCTACTGTGCAAATAAATCGTGGAATAATTACGCGCAATGATCAACGTATCGACGAAGACGGATGATGTGATATGATGATAATATAAGAAATGGAGTGCGCCGGTAAGAAATTTCTAAATTTTCTAAAAAAAAAAAAAAAAAAAACTCCCTCCCCCCTCGTTTAACCTCGTCCAACGTCACGTTCATTGTTGAAGGCGATTCTGGAGGCCGAAAATGGGGCCAATCCCCTATCGATATCGATGAACGGAACTTAATCAAGATAAAATTCCCCGCCCTTATCATGAGCGGCCATTGGAACAACGACGGTGAGGCAAAAATGCGAAACATCGGGACCACAGGTGACTTCCTCCTCCTCTTAACTTGCTTCGTTATTATTATTATTATATTTATAATATTATATAATATTATTATTATATTTTTTATTATATTATTATATAATATTATATAATATTATAATTAATAATAATAATAATAATAATTATTATTATTGTTGTTGTTATTGTTATTGTTGTTATTATTATTATTGTTATTGTTATTATTGT